TTATCTCTCCGGCATCGTCCAGGAAACGGAGGTCCCGATTCGACTGCTGGCGGAGGCGCCCCTGGATCCGGTCATGTAAACCCACTTGGATCCATTCGTCGGCGGTGGTCCATCCCTCCGGGGCGCGCATCTGGGTCCGGGCACCGGGTCCGGGGTGTCATCCGGAAGGGACTCCTCCTCCGTAATGGCCTCGTCCTCGGGACATGGGGCTGGGCGGCGTCGAGGAGCGTTCCGCAGGATGCCCGGTGGGCCCTCGGCTGGTCCTGTGGGTTCGTCCTCTGTCGTCGGGTGGTGGAACCGCCAGCGCCACGTGTCGGTAGCAGGCAGTGGTCTTACCCGTCGCACGGGTCTGGGCCACTCCCGCAACGACTGCCGTGTTGTCGGTCGAGCTGGGTGTTTCCGGGGTGATGGCCGGCTGTGTGGCTGTTCCCGTGACTGGGAATGTCTCGAGTATTGTGGCTGAGGTGGTGGGACCCTCTGGGGACGCCATCAAATGCTGCAGGAGCTGCTGAAGTGCCCCGTTGCCCGTGGGCGTGCGCGCTCCCGAGCGGGCAGCCTGCTCGTCTGCTGGTGTGTCCGTCCTGGTTGTGGTGGTAGTGTCGTTCGTGGTGGTTCCTTGGCATCTCCTCCTCGGCTTCGTACTCGGCGTTAACGATCCCGCAGGATGGTACCGATGGTTCCAGACCTCCGAGATGGACTCTCCTTGCCTGTTGACGAAATGGGTTCCGTTTGATCGCTGATGTGTCGGGAGTGGGAAGTGTTCCAGCCCAGCTTGGGGCCGTGCATGTACCTACGTGGGTGATCTTGCGTGGGGCGCTATCGGGACAGAGACGCACATGTGCAGCCCTGCGATGTCTTCTTGTTCGATGTCTCCGTGTGGCGGATTCTCGTTGTAAGTCGGGCGTGGCTCTGGGTGCGCTTGTGAGGCGGCTGGTGTGTGAGCCTGTGAGGCGGCTGGTGTGTGCGCCTGTGCGGCGGCTTCTGGGAGCGCCTATGAGGCGGCTGGTGTGTGCGCCTGTGAGGCGGCTGGTGTATGCGCCTGTTAGGCGTCTTCTGGGTGCGCCTGTGCGGCGGCTGATGCGTGTTGTGGCGGCGTGTGTGTGTGTTCGGCTCGTGTCGGTGTCGGCAAGCTGGTTCTCGCGGGTCGAGCCGAAGTAGGTGGTTGGAGCTTGCGGAGCAGGCCCCCACACTGAGGTATTGCTCCGCCGTAGCACAGGAAGTTCATGCCGAGCAGAAGGTCGTCCAGCACGTCTGTCATAATGAGAGCGGAGACGCTGTCCCGAGATTTTCCCAACTGAATCGTGGTTCCAACTGAATCGTTTTGCCAGGCGTTCGCTTATAAAGCTATGCGAGGCCCCCATATCCAAGGTAACGGTGAGAGGGCGCCCCTCGACCGTGACCTGTGTGCGGATACGGTTTCGATCCTGCTGGATGTTCGGTGGGTTACTCGGGTGACTCCCTGATACCCGAAGCTCTTGCCCGTTTCCCGGCGTCTGGCAGCAATCGATAGTACGTATGCCCTGACGACCGCAGTCCAAACAGAACATGATTCGCTGGTTCTGGCATTCCGTGGCGTAGTGACCAGCCTGGCCGCAGTTTCGGCAGGCGGTGCTGGGGTCTATTGACCTGGTGGGCGTGGCCTCTTGGTTAGGGTTTCCCCCGGCGTCTTGGCGGGCGGCGTCGTTGGTCGCGTTCCTAGGGTGTGGCACCTGCGGTGTATGGGCAGGGTTCGCCCTAGGTCGTGCGACTCTGCTATGGGATGGATATTTAGCATCTGGGCTTGTTGATGGGTATCCACAGACGGTTCGGCGTACGCGGCTCCGGTCAACTTTGAAGTTGACCACACGGTGCGTGAGTTCGGTCAGCGTCTTGAAATCCTGGCGGTGGGTGAACATCTGATATTCTGGCAGCATGTTCTCGTAGACCCGTTCCAATTCCTGCTCTGGTGAGAATTCAACGTGGCGCATCTGAAGGCGAATATCAACCAGGTATTCCTTAAATAGCTCATTCACTTTCTGAAAGTGTGAGCGGATCTCGTCGTTGAGGCGTTGATAGTACCGGGGAGGTAGGAAGAAGTCCAAGAATTCCCAGCGAACTTCTGCCCAGGTCCGTCCCTGCAGATCACTGGTTCGGAACCAATTTTCCGCTCGACCAGTCAGGAGGACGATGATAGCGTGAGACAGATACTCCCGGTCAACCCGGTAGGTATCCGTCCGTTCTTCGTTCCGTATCCTCGGAGTGTTCCGTTTGTCTGCCGATCGCGTACAGCCGCCCCTGCTCGTCAACCATACCGTTTTGTTCCATGCCAAGCTCGAGAAGGATAGCCCCAAGTTCGTGCTTCTTCCTGTAGGAAATCCAGGAGACTCCCATGTAGTCGTCGGTGTGTATCCTGGCTGTATATCCTAGGTGGTCCTGGCTAGTGTGCAGGAGCGGCGATGTGTCGAATCCTTGGAGGATGTGTATCCTTGATGGTCCTGGCTAGGGTGCAGGAGCGGCGATGCGTTGATTCCTTGGAGGATATGTATCCTTGATGGTCCTGGATAGGGTGAAGGAGTGTCCTTGTTGCTTGAGGTTGGAGATCGATGTTGTCCCTCGGGACTCCGTTGATTAACTGATCCCTCGTGACTCCGTTGATTGACTGATCCCTCGGGACTCAGTTGATTGACTAATCTTTCGTGACTCCGTTGGTTGACGGAACCGTTGATTGCTCCGAACTACGAGGGAGGATATGAGGGGCCGATCCCGACACCCGGGAATCGGTTGTCCGGCCCCGTCAGCCGGGTGCCGGTGCTCCGAACTACGAGGGAGGGGGGAAAGAATGAGAGAGAGAGGGGAATGCGGTTCCGTTCCGGAGGCCGCTCGCCGACCGGGATTGGCGAGAATAACTCTGGAGTTGAGCATTTGTGTATAAATACATTTGTATTATTCATATGCCTTGCTTATGTTCTTAGCCTAGCTCTACGCTATCTCACCGCTCGCCTCCGACGTTTTGGCGTTGGCTTATCCATACTACTCCTTGACCTTGTCCTTGTTTACCGGGGCGGTGTTGGCTCTGCCGGTATGATGGCTCTGCCGATAATAGTTTGGCGCTGTGTGATGTTGATGTGTTTGAGGCGGTGTTGGCTCTGCCGGTATGATGGCTCTGTCGATAATAGTTTGGTGCTGTGTGATGTTGATGTGTTCAAGGCGGTATCAGAATCCATTCTGATGGAAGAGACCTGCGGGTGGTGAGGGGAAATCGTAATGACAAAGAGACAGACTGACCCACTGACAGACATGGAGAAGGGAAAAAGAAGAGGGGGAGGGGTGTTTGTGACCACAAACTCTGAAATTTTAGTAAACAACAACAAATTGAACCATTGATATGATTCCTTTCCAGAATCTTAAACTGTTTATGGGGTGGGTGGACCAAAAACTCCTAAAAGGAGGCAGCAAACATTATGAACATATAAGTTAACACCGGCCAAGCGCCACCTGCCCTTTACCACCTCTCGACCCGGATACCAGACACCGCGACTTCCCTCATCACCCCACTCAGCCAACCCGACGACCAGCAGGGACACAGCAGCGGTAGTGCAGACACCAAACGTCAGCGGCATCAGAGCGACAGAACGTCAACGGCAGAATTGCCCCGGCAGAATTGCAACGGCAGAATTGCAACGGCAGAAGCGTGAGAATGGAAGAGCACTCACCGCTAGCTGCCTCAGCAATAGCTGCCGCTACCCCTTCCCATTGCCGCGGCCAACCGAAAATGCAGAGCTAGCACCTGGAGGTTAGCAACACGTTGGCCCAAATATCCAGAACCGCTGCTATCAGCAGCGCGACAATGGAAGAGCACTGACCGATCGCTAGCTGTCTCAGACGGAAATGCAACACAAGCACCTGGAGCATAGCAACACTTTGGCCCAAAATCCCTAAAACCTCTGCTGTCAGCATCGGACCGCTCTGCCAGCGTTATGCAGTCAACAAGCCAGCCAAAATTATGATTTAGATTTACTTCGATTTGTACCCCCAAAGCCAGCAGACCATTATTATTTGCAAACAATAAGACCATTGTAACGTATAAAAGCGATTACGGTTTTATTTTAAAGTAGCTTCCTGGAAAATAAAGAAAAAGCTGTGAAAGAGAAGGACGAAGGGACCTGGAATTGGAAAGGCGAGGATGCAGATAACATTAACTAGGTAATATCCGGGGGAATACCCCCCCTCTGGCCATGTCCGGCCATAACTGGCGCCGGAACAGATTCCACTTTCTCTCGAAAGTGGGACCCAAGGACCCATTTGCGTGTGCGTGTAAAAAATATAATTGCTAGCGAATCACAATTACCCGCTGCGGTGAGGATGCTGCCGTTTGGAGCTGTCATTCCCCACGGGCGCAAAAAAAATTGTGAATAAACTTAGTACCTGCCGCGGCGATCTGTCCACGTACCCTGTGACACGGCATATTCGCGGGCACGAAACACTAATTAATATAAAACAAAAGAAGCAATAGTCCACTGCGGAGATAAGTCCATACCATCGGGTAGCTTATTCGCGAGTGTAAAAATTGCAATTTTAATCAAATAAACACAGATAACCGCTGCGGCAATTAATTTGCGAGCGGCAAAAATTATAAACCTATTTCGAAGTAAAAAAAAAAAGAAAATTTTTTTTCAATTATAAAAAATGTGTCGTGTAAGTGGCAATCTGGTGGAAAGGCTAACGGATGTGGAATGCAGTCCAAAACAAGAGGAAACGCTATAGTCGAGTGCCGCGACTGTAAGAAACCCGTTACTGTTTTACAAAATTTTAAAATATTATTTTGCTAGTGGGAATTCACAAGGCGCCACCTATTGTCAGAGGAAGTATGTTGAGTATGCTTATAGTGACGTCACTGCCCATGTGAGGCCTTATAACCTTATTTTCTTTATAAATAGCGAAATAATGTTCCGATTTAAAAAATCTTTGGTAAATCGATAGATATTAACAGAAATAAGTTATACAAGGTCAAACGAAGGCATTCATTATAATATTATAGATGCCACAGTTTTCTTCGGTTTGTGGGCGTAAGAGTAAGCGTGGCCGGATGCAACTTCGTGGCAAGTTGCAGAGGCATCTCTCAAATACGGTTTTCTAAGCTCTTATAGTTTTCGAGATTTTTGCATTTTTGTTTTTTCGGGTTTTGTGGGCGTCAGAGTGAGCGTGGCTTGATCGGAAAAGAACAATTCGCATGGGAGCATCATAAAAACCTACATGCTTAATTCGAACTTTCTATCTCTTACAGTTACCGAGATATCAGCTTTTGTAGAAAATCCTTCTTTTGAGCTTTGTGGGCGTATGGGTGGGTGTGGCCGGATGGTAGAACCACTATAAGATGCGCTGGCATCTAAAGATTATACTTTCTGAATTTCAACTTTCTAGCTCCAATAGTTCCTGAGATTTCAGCAATTTTAGTTTTTTGCGATTTGTGGGCGTTATAGTGGGCGTGGCAGGATGCTGTAATAAACTTGCGCTGTCCCGGGACCTCAAGAATCTTCATTGTTAATTTCAACGTTGTGTCTCTTATAGTTCCTGAGATCTCAGCGTTCATACGGACGGACGGACGGATGGACGGACGGACGGACGGACAGACAGTCGGACATGGCTCAATCGACTTCGCTATTGATCCTGATCAAGAATATATATACTTTATAGGATCGCAAACGTTTCCTTCTATCTGTTACATACTTTTCAACGAATCTAGTATACCCTTTTACTCTACGAGTACGGGTATAAAAAGCTTCCCAGTGGAATGTGTGGCAACCGTACCTTAGTAGGCACAATGCCAAAACGGATAAATACGGACCACCGCGCCGATAAACACAATTACACAGAAATACAAAAATAAAGAACCAAAAAAACGAATTTTTTTAAAGATCGCACAACGCTCAAACGAAAATTACAATTTTGTTTTTTTTTTAAATTTCAGAATAATAATCCTGTAGGGGAGAAAACAGAAGACCTCGAAAAATTGAAACACTGAAAAATTAAAACCACGAAACAAGAAAAAGAAGGAAAATACTGGGGGTAAGTGAAACGATTCTTTATACGCACGTCTCTTAATACTAATAAAAAAAATATATAAATAAAGTAGAAATTAATTTAAAAGAAAAAGCTGAAAATTGTTGCTAAATTCCCTGCTTCGACCCACAATTAAATAAAGTGAAAAAACCCTGAGAAAAAATTAACCATAAAAATGGAGGAAATGAAAGAAGTTTTAAACCGCCTTAACCGCCATTTCGGCCTTAACCACTCAGATGGTGGGCATGAAGGAAGAGGTTAGGAAAGTAGGAAATAGGGTGAACGTTTTAGAAACTGACTTCGAGCGACGCAACCCGGTACCAGAGATACCGCTACCACTAATGCGTCCGCGTACGGAGTACGAACTCAAGGAGTCTTCGCCCGTACCGGAATGCGTAAGGGAGCTTGTGACTTTCGAGGGAGATTCCGAGAAATACAACTTTTGGATTAATAGGGCTCAATCCATTGTTAACGATTTCGAGGTCGTTCGGGAGAAACCCCTATATAGGTCAGTCCTTATTCAGATTAGACAAAAAATAGGTAGATTAGGGGCAACGCTGACATGGCACTCAATGCCTATAACGTGCGGGATGACGATTGGGCAGAGGTCAGACGGGTATTGGCATTACACTTTGCCGATAAACGAGATGTTGGTACGCTTGAGTACAAACTAGCTCAAATGACCCAGGGAAGCCAAAAACTGGACGATTTCTACCTTAAGATCAACAATTATGTCTCGCTCATAATGAATAACATTAAGAGCATGAATTATTCTACGGAGATAACCGACGCTTTTCCTGCCGGTCAAAGGGACAAAGCCCTTAATGCTTTTATAAGGGGAGTAAAGGGCGACGCTTCTAAGCTACTGATAATCCGTAAGCCTGCGGACGTCCACGAGGCATACTTTATTTGCCTAGAATTACAAAAGATAGAACCGAGGAACTCTGCACCAAGAGCGCCTTTTTTTAGACAGACCCTTAGCCAGACAGACCCTTAGACAATTTTTTAAGCCGATTGGGAACAATACCGTTCTCACCTTTTTTGTCCTTCCCGGACTAACATCATTTGACGGCATCATAGGAGACGACACCCTAAGAACCTTAAAAGCCCTGATCGACAGAAAAAATGACCTCTTGACAATATCACCCGATATCAAGATTCCCCTTCTTGCTAAAAAATCCTTAAATGTACACCTACTGTTAGATAAAAAGCACCCTGAGTCTGCAAGGGAAGCTTTAAACGCTCTTATTAGCGAGTATTTCAAAATATTCGAGCCACTCTCACAAGGAGAGGCCGTAGACACAAGTGTTAGGGCTGAGACTCGCACAAGCACCTCAGACCCTATATACACAAAGAGCTATCCCTACCCTACCAACATGAGAGGGGAAGTGGATTGACAGATAGAAGAACTCTTGCGGAATGGGATCATCAAACCATCTAAAAGTCCCTATAACTCCCCGGTCTGGGTAGTAGCAAAGAAACCCAAACCGAACGGAGAGAAGCAATACCGCATGGTCATCGATTTTAAGCGCTTAAAAGCAGACACTTATCCTATACCGGACATGAACTCCACTTTGGCAAGCCTAGGGAAAGCCAAATATTTCACAACTCTCGATTTAACCTCGGGATTCCATCAGATTTATTTGTTGGAGTCTGATACCCCAAAACAGCATTCTCCACAATGAATGGGAAGTACGAATTTCTTTGCCTCCCGTTTGGTCTAAAAAATGCCCCAGCGGTGTTTCAAAGAATGATCGATGATGTGTTACGGGAACATATCGGCAAAATTTGCTACGTGTACATAGACGATAATAGTCTTCAGTGAGGACTATGATAGCCACTGGCAAAACTTTCGCGCTGTCTTCAAGAACCTGGAGAAAGCCAGACTGCAGGTCAACTTAGAAAAAACCAATTTCCTATCAACTCACGTTGAATTCTTAGAATATGTAGTAACTGCAGATGGTATCAAAGCATACGAGAAAAAGGTGGAGGGTGTCACAAAAATGAAACCACCTACCAACGTAAAGGAATTAAAGAGTTTCCTCGGCATGACATCTTACTATAGGAAATTTATTAAGGATTATGCAAAGGTCGCGAAACCACTAATTAATTTGACTCGAGGAGAGTTCGCTAGGATTAAGTCGTCACAGTTGAAAAATGCTCCCATTGAACTCGACGAGGCCGCGATGAAAGCCTTCAATGATTTAAAATCTATCCTTTCATCCTCAGAGGTTTTGGCATTTCCAAATTTTTCTAAACCCTTTCACTTAACCACTGACGCATCGAATTATGCTATCGGGGCAGTCCTTTCTCAAGTAGACGCAGGCAAGGATAGGCCAATAGCGTATATCTCTTGACTCAGACGGAAGAAAACTATGCCATCAATGAAAAGGAAATGCTCGCCATAGTGTGGGCCTTAGAAAATCTTCGGTCTTATTTGTAAGGTGCCGGGTCCATCAGGATTTACACCGATCACCAGCCTTTAACATTTGCCCTAGGCAATAGAAATTTTAACGCCAAGTTAAAACGTTGGAAGTCCCGTATTGAGGAATACAATTGCGAACTAATATACAAACCAGGGAAGTCGAATATAGTGGCCGACGCACTTTCAAGGGTTACAACGTACGTTAACCATCTGGGCTCTGGCACCGATGCCGCCTCCGAGTCAGATTCTATAGCAACAATTCATAGCGCTCTTCAAGACGCATCTCATTTAATCCCCCACGTTGAAACACCGATTAACGCCTACCAAAATCAACTGATTTTTCATCCAGGCCTCTCCGATTACTCATGTGAACACCCACATGCCGGATACGTGCGCAACTCAATTCCAATTAACGACTTTACCTCTTTTAATTTCTACACTCACATAAAAAGTACTTAAAACCTTCAGTAATCAATGGGATTAAAATTCCGGACGATTACCTACAACTCCTTCAAACCTGTTGCTTTCAGAGTTTTAAATTGTTCAAAATCCGCATAACACAGCGCCTAGTTCACGATATTACAGACCAAGAGCAAATTTGCGAAGTCATTGAAAAAGAACATCGCAGAGCGCATAGAAACCCAAAAGAGGTCCGCATTCAGATCCTAGAGAAGTAAATGCTCGCCATAGTGTGGGCCTTAGAAAATCTTCGGTCTTATTTGTAAGGTGCCGGGTCCATCAAGGTTTACACCGATCACCAGCCTTTAACATTTGCCCTAGGCAATAGAAATTTTGGTGGCAAGTTAAAACGTTGGAAGTCCCGTATTGAGGAATACAATTGCGAACTAATATACAAACCAGGGAAGTCGAATATAGTGGCCGATGCAATTTCAAGGGTAACAACGTTAACCATCTGGGCTCTGGCACCGATACCGCCTCCGAATCAGATTCTCTAGCTACAATTCATAGCGCTCTTCAAGACGCATCTCATTTAATCCCCCACGTTGAAACACCGATTAACGCCTACCGAAATCAACTGAATTTTCATCCAGGCCTCTCCGATTACTCATGTGAACACCCACATGCATGATACGTGCGCAACTCAATTCCAATTAACGACTTTACGTCTTTTAATTTCTAGACTCACTTAAAAAGTACTTAAAACCTTCAGTTATCAATGGGATTAAAATTCCGGACGATTACCTACAACTCCTTCAAACCTGTTGCTTTCAGAGTTTTAAATTGTTCAAAATCCGCATAACAGCGCCTAGTTCACGATATTACAGACGAAGAGCAAATTTGCGAAGTCATTGAAAAAGAACATCGCAGAGCGCATAGAAACCCAAAAGAGGTCCGCATTCAGATCCTAGAGAAGTACTATTTCCCACGGATGGCTAATATCATTCGCACGCAATTGTCAACCTGTGCCACTTGTAAATTGCACAAGTATGACAGGCACCCAAATAAACCACCACTACAGCCATGTAGTGTAGCCCATGTGAAATACTTCATATCGACGTTTTCACATTGGAGAAAAAAGTATATCTCAGTTGCATCGACAAATTCTCTAAATTTGCTAAACTTTTCCCCTTACAATCGAAATCAGCAATCCATCTTCGCGAAACACTACTGGATGCACTCCATTACTTCACGGCGCCTAGAATGATAGTTACGGATAACGAAAGAGGCCTTCTATGCCCAACTGTCCTTAACTACCTTCGAACTTTGGAAATTGAGCTCTACCATACCCCAACTCAGAAAAGCGAAGTAAACGGTCAGGTAGAAAGATTCCATTCTACCTTCATGGAAATATATCGATGCTTAAAAGGCAAATATCCCACCTTTAAACCAAACGAGCTTATCTCAATTGTTGTAGACAGATACAATAACTCTGTCCACTCGGTGGCAAATAAAACACCCGTTGACATTTTTTTCAAGCGAACTTCTAGAATAAACTACCGGGGGCTGTCTAATTTTAAACAGCAAACTCTTGAGGACATTCGAGGCCTCATTGAGCACAAACAAAACTAAACCAACAATGAGCGCAATAAAAATAGAGGCGACCCAATTTCCTATGAACAAGGTGACACCGTATATGTCGCCAATATACAGATTAAAACCAAAGAAAAGAAGCGATTCAAGGCGGAGGAGGTTGAAGATGAAGGTCACTATCAAAACAAGGCCGGGAAAAATCTTTCATAAATCCCATCTAAGAAATTAATTTTTTTTTTTGATCAACAGTGTAGCTCATATTTTTCTCGACAGGGAGGACTGGCAACAGAATATCATAACTCCTCAAAACATTGAAATTTATCTATACAAAAGTGCGCACTGAACGTTTCACTGACTCATAACCTCCTTCAAATACAAACAAATAAATAAACATTAGTAATAAACAAAAAAAACTCAATAATTCAATTCTTAGTTTAAGTTAAGCAAAAACAAAAAAACCTCTCATAACAGGGGAAAATTTAATCAAAATGACATTGAACCACAACAAATAAAATTTTTTTAATAGTAAGAACATACGAATAATACAGGAAAATACCAAGAACACCAACACAAACATTAGGCTTAAGACAAAGAAAATATTTTATTATAAGAATCAACAATTTCATGTGCACGTAATCCCCTGCCGACGTTACAAGTGCGTCCACAATCTACGTGGCGACAACCCTCCACATTTTCAAATATGACGCACCGGTTGTCCCCTTGCAACAAGGGACCGTCTGGAAGACCAATGGCGTTTTCAAACTGGCTCACGTCATCAATCTAGGCCACATGCAGCAACTCATCGACCAGGTGGCAAACGAGGCTATGGTGGTAACCGACCAACGTATCAACGCACTGGTTGGCCACTATCTGCAACACGCTTCAGAGGTAATCTCGCGCATGGTTGGCGCACCAACACGAAGGCAACGCTCAATCGACTGGCTAGGATCAGCCTGGAAGTGGGTCGCGGGATCACCGGACAAATCGGATTGGAATGCCATCTTGAAAGAGGAGGACAGCTTGGCGAGAAACAACAATCAGCAGATTCGCATCAATACTAAGTTGTTCGACACAACACACGAGTCGCTCCAGAAGTTGAACGACGTTATCGGGAGAGTCAACGCAATAGATGGGGACTTCCACGTGACGACGGCCGTTCTCCACAAAGCAATTATATCAACGAAATGCTGAGGGCCTCCCAACTAGGAAAGACTGGAGTGGTCAACACGAATCTCCTGGACCACAACGAGGTCGACACAATACTGGCGGAGGTGGACAGCCTCCCTTATCAAAACGTTGTCGAGGCCATCGAATTTTCTAAACCTACAATCCTGACAAACGGGACTGCTCATTTGTACATCTTGGCTAAGCCCAAGGTAGTGGAAAGGAGGTACAGATTGATGAGGATCTACCCAACGATATCCGATGGGAAACATGTTGTTCTGAAATACAACACATTGGCGATGGACCGCCTGGAAACATACGCCCTCCTCGGAAAGTGTGTATCCATCGGCAACACAACGGTCTGCTGAGAAAAGGACTTGTTTAAATTGGAGGAGGACAGTTGCATACCTAGACTGTTAAAAGGAGGCCAGGCCGAATGCGACTATCTGATAATCAACCAAAAAAGGTTGATCTAATCGATGACGGCACACTCTTCCTAACCAACTTCAATGGAACGATATCCACACCAGCCAAGAAGTAAAAATTATAGGGATCGTACGTCATACAATTTGACAACGAAACAATCTCAATCGGCGATCGGAACTACAGTAGCTACTCTTCAACACACCTTATGGCAATTCCCGCCGTGCTAACTCAGGTAAAAACAACGGGTTACGAGCTATCGCTGAAATATGTCCATGAATTCAGCATGGAAAACCAAAAGAAGTTATCTGTTATGTCAGATGAGATTTGGATATCCTTCTCAGTGGAGATAGTCATAGCCCTCTCCATTATGACAACGGTATTCAACGTATGGAAGAAGATTACGTCGACCAAAGGAATCCCTAAACTGCGGGACCCGCCTGCAAGCCTGGAAGCGCAGGATACTATGGAACCCGTAACCATTAACCTATTAAACCTAACCTATTAAACTGTGGGACACAGCTCTTGTGGTGGGGAGGAGTTAACACCGGCCAAGCGCCCCCTTCCCTTCACCTCCTCTCGACCCGGATACCAGACACCGCGACTGCCCTCATTACCCCACTTAGCCAACCCGACGACCAGCAGAGACACAGCAGCGGTAGTGCAGACACCAAACGTCAGCGGCGTCAGAGCGACAGCGCAGCGACAGAACGTCAATAGCAGAATTGCACCGGCAGAATTGCAACGGCAGTAGCGTGAGAATGGAAGAGCATTGACCGCCCGCTAGCTGCTTCAGCAATAGCTGCCGATACCCCTTCCCATTGCCGCGGCCAACCGAAAATGCAGAGCTAGCACCTGGAGGTTAGCAACACGTTGGCCCAAATATCCAGAACCGCTGCTATCAGCAGCGCGACAATGGAAGAGCACTGACCGATCGCTAGCTGTCTCAGCCATAGCTACCCCTACCCCTGCACGCGGACGGAAATGCAACACCAGCACCTGAAGCATAGCAACACTTTGGCCCAAAATCCCCAAAACCGCTGCTGTTAGCATCGGACTGCTGCAACCGCTCTGCCAGCGTTATGCAGTCAACAAGCCAGCCAAAATTATGATTTAGATTTACTTCGATTTGTACCCCCAAAGCCAGCAGACCATTCTTATTTGCAAATAATAAAACCATTGTAACGTATAAAAGCGATCACTGTTTTATTTTAAATTAGCTTCGTGGAAAATAAAGATTGAGCTGTGAAAGAGAAGGACGAAGGGACCTGGGGAATACTCCCCCCTCTGACCATGTCCGGCCATAGCTTATATTAGAATCTAGAAAAAAGAATAAGAAGAAAATAAGAAATACAAAAAGTACTTCAGACTATATAACCTTATAACAGTTTTCATATAAATAATTAATAATTTCATCTTATCTTGAAAACTAAAAACAAGACACAAAAACAAAAACACTGAAATAAAGAAACAATAAAATAAACACATTTTTTGTTGAATTAACGTGCGCAACGGATGCCGTAACATGCGCCTAAAAGATGTTTACAAATCGGATGCATGAGTGTGAAGTGACACTTTATTAAGATAAACAACTTCCATCAGAATCCATACTGATGGAACGGACCGCCAGACAGATAATGGGTTTTGGGGTGGGGGAAATTTAATTGATAAAAACCATTAATGTCACAGTTAATTGATAAAAACCATTAATGTGACATTTAATTGCACATAAATCTGGCCCAGAAGCCACTACTTTGGGTAAAATTAGTTGAAACGGTTTTTTTGTTTAATACGGTTAGTATAGTATTAGCGTTGAAATATTTTCTTTTAAATCTCAGCGAGCTGCTTAAGAGTGGTCGGTGCCCATCAGCAAGAGTCGATCACTGTACGCTTATTAAAGGTCATTGACCTCTGCGGCTGCAGCAAAAGAAAAGCTTTTTACGTGAGGAAGCGATGAGCTGGTTAAGTCATTCTGGCTTATTGGAAAAAAGCTGGTTATCTAGCTGTTAGACATTTTTGTTTTCGTTTGTTTAGGTTTTGGCCAGAGTTCAAAGAATTAAAAAAAAAATGAAAAAATTGCTGATTCCGATAGGGAAGACGTTGAACATGAAGCAGATTGCCCAATATGTAGAAAATCTTTGTCCGCAGGCACTGTGTTTAAAACAAAGTGCAACCGCGAAGTTTCACAAAAACTGCCTAGCGAATCACTAGAAGTCCAGTCATAAGTGCCCATCTTGTGGAACCGCCTGCTTCGCAACTGCATCGGCCACGCCAGTTGAAAATTTAATAAGAGTTTTTATTAAGTTCTATTTTGTGGAATGAAGGGTTTTTTATTAATACTTGGAAAGTGAATTCACTATGACGAAAAGGCACGGCGCGTGCGTACGAGAGGGAGTTTCGATTTGAAAGGAATGAAAGGAAATATGAATTTGAACTTATTTATTTGACTTAAATTATCTTATGCTATGGACAAAAGGTACAAAGATAGAGGGAGAGAGGAGAGCGGAAGCCGAATTCCCTGAGCGAAAAATCTTTATTGGGCCCCGCTCCCCATTTTATACTGAAAGACCACAATGACCAAACACCGCCCCCTCTAAAGGGACGACGTCATTCAGGATTGTACAGGTAGAAGCGCCAACTTATGGATGGCGCGTCGGTACGTTCCCTCCGCTGTCTTTACGTCCGCCACTCGGACCGTGTCGTCAGCGCCGACGTGCACCGTCCGATCCTCCATTGCTGGGGCACCATGTTGTCTTCTCCTAAGACAACGAGCGCTCCCACGAACCTGTGCTTGTGACACAAGACGCAATGTCTTGTGCCATCGCCGCAAGCAGGTGGGGCCAACAGCGGGCCGCCGATCAGAAGATGCCCGGGGGTTAGATCTTTGCCGTCGCTGGGGTTGCTGCTTAGCACTCCGATTGTCCTCGAGTTTAGGACCACCTCCACGCTGGCGATTAGAGTGCAGACCTTCTCTGCAAGAGGTCGTTGCCGACCGTCCGTAGGAACAGGTGCTTTGCAGACTTTACAGTTACTTCCCATAGACCGCTGAAGTGAGATGCTCTGGGCGGTATAACCGAAAATTAGCATCCTATTTTTGATTCGAATGCCTTCAGACCGTCCTCCTGCTCCTCCAGGCGGGCCCGGAACTCTTTCAGGTGGCGGTTTGCTCCACACCTTCTCCGGGATCCCGCGGCGACTCACGAACCTTTGAAAAGCCAATAAAAGAGCATCAGTGTTGAGGTCAGACACTAACTATAAGTGGACCGCTTTGGATTCAAAACACACAAACAAGGCCATGTACGACTTGTACAGTGGCTTACCAAGAATACGATAGGTTAAGCTAAATGGTCCAAAAAAATCAACGCCGCAGATATTCCCCTTTATTGCGTCAAGAGTTGCGGCTTGTACCGGAAGCAGCGCGTTCATGAACGAACAGTTCGTCGACATACTTCTTGAGCATTGAATAACAATCCTTTTTCGCGCAAAAGACTTACAAGAGCTCGAGGACCAGCGTGACAATTCGTAACGTGCAGGTATGACACGTAAGATTTAACGAAGATTTCGATAGCAACAACGGAAATTTGGCTTCTTACGGGATAGGAGCATTTAACAACCGACCACAAACTCGGAGCAACGTTCACAAAAGGATTAAATTTCTGAATATTCGGTGATACCGGTCTCTGTTTCCAAATTTTGCCTATGTCGTCACTGAATTCCTAAGATTTGTGATCAAATCTACAATTTTCGAATGCAATATTCAGTTCTCTTGGCGTCATACTTTCTCTCATTAGGATGTCATTAAACAAAACCTGCAACGATGTGCGGCTTAAGGCATCGAATAACACTCTCAACTTGGTTGTCCGCATTGGCCATCTGGAATTTTATCATTAGTAGAGGACATGTGGCCCAGTGATACATATTCTTCCATGAAATCCAGATACATTTTCTTTAAAGAAGGATCTTTTGACAATCTCCCTTCAAGCGACAAAAATCTACGTTTCGCAACTTCATATGACGAACCAAGAGTTATGGGGTCAGATTTGAACGGCAGTCTTTGAGTATTTTTCTCAAAGTGTTGTTCACAAAGTTGCTGCTCAGGAGTATGGACTTTAGCCTTAGGCGGCAAGTCCCCCACAGACCAAAATTTCTGCAGGGTGGTGTCAATTGACTCCAACGCTTCTTCCTGACAGCTAAGATGTACCGAATTTTCCGGCTTTATTTTGTTTTCCGAGGCACATCTCCCTGACACTATGCAGTCGAGTACAGATTTTTGTAAAATGGGAAGTTTAGGGATGGGAAGTGCTTTATCTGGCCAACTGACAGAATTTTAAAGAATGATTCTGCGCCGATAAGCATGTCAATTTTTAGGGGCTTGAAGAAGAATGGATTTGCAAATTGAATATTTTCAGGTACCCTCCACCCGCTGGTGTTCACCGTTTGATCCCGATAATAACCAGAAATATTTTTTAAAACATGAAAATCGGACGACAACTAACTGCTTTCTATTCGCGACTTCACTATTGCGTGAATTTTTTTTTGTTGCTTGAGCACTAGTTTCACAAATGCAAAGTCATACAACGTTTTTTCTTTTAATTTGTAGTCTCTGAGCGAGCTCATCGGTCACAAAATTTACTTGTGAACCAGAGTCAAGCAACGCTCGACCCATCACAATTTCGCCACTTTTCGTTAACACGCTAACGATAGCTGTAGCAAGAACAACTCTATCCGAAATAGTGGCATGAAAAACATGCGAAGTGGATGGAGACTCTCCGTGAGCGCGGGCTGAGAAGGAGGCGGCAACGCGAGTTTTGTATTAGCAGATTATCTGTGCAGAGATTTACAGAGACACACCCTGCACCTGTTCGACATGCATTTTTTAACAGTGTGACCCTTGCGAAGGCAGTTAATGCACAAGCGCACCTTTTTTCGCAAAATCGAACCTCTG